CCATACGACGCGACGGCTGTGCTAGCGTGCATTGTCCAATATAATTACCGAATCAGGTTCTAAAAGAGTCAGTATAGAGGAACACCATTTTTCAAACACATCCGAATTCATATTCTCATGATAATCTCCCCTTTTGATAGAGGTAAAGGCATTTAAACCAACTTGTAAGAAACCTGAATCACTTAGTATGTACGTAATAACGACGCGTCTTCCTTTGCCTGAAAGGTGCTTTTAAGCTTGTAGAAAGTCCCTCATTAAAAACCTGTCGTGAACTTTTAATATTTAAGTTTTGCCATACTTTGGATTTCGTATAACCCTCATTCAATCACGTTTCGTCCATATATTTTTTTTCCAAAAGGTCTAAAATCACAAATATTTTGTAAATATTATCTCCGCCTTATCACTAGTTCGTCTCAGTCGATTAACAAACTTTTCTCTTTACATTCCGAAAATCCGTTTCACGGAATCATCTTTGTAATACCCGCACAGATATTTTATTTAAAGTAGCATCTGCGTCTGCATTGATTTCTCGTTAAATAGCCGTGGACATTTCGTTCCTAAAATAAAATTCATGAACTGTTCTTTGGATTATACTTTTTGTAATATCGTCCAATACACTCTCTGTATGTCTTTTATAAATAGGTTTTTGAAGTGGTTTATTACCTTGAATTATTCGAAAAACCATACGAGCCGATATTTTCGTGAAATCACAATACAATGCCGTGACGTCCTCTATAAACATATCTTCTTTTACGTAATTTCTTATAAACCGATTTAATCATTTGTTTTTCTTTCCGTTAATCCGGTTTAGTAACATACGTACTACACGTTGGCATTGATGTCATGTTATCCGACTGTGCGCCCATGTAATACTTCTGACTACCTGATTTTAATATTTATATCCATCATTTGCCGTATTGCAATAAGATTTTTACTTTCGAAAAGGACAACAATGTCCGCCTGTCTGTTTCTTGACTTTCAGGTATACTTCAACGACACTAATAAGCTGAACGCGTTACTAAATAATGAATTTTGCAACAAGGCGAGTATAGTTTATCTAGTTTGGACTTTATAGCAAATGTAACCGGCAAAAATAATAATTGAGAAGTAAATTTGTCTGCTAATAAATAAATATATAGCCGATTACTATAGATTGTTTACGAACTACAAAATGTCTGCCCTGACAATCATATAGAATTCATGGTGTAATGCACTTTTCATTGCATTTATTTTGACGAAGGGAGCGTAGGTACCCAGTACAGTACAAGCCGCACGTTCGGCTACCAACTTGAGACACACAATCACATCTGCGATTCTTTGGGCTTGAATGTTTATCTAAAAGTATCGACAAGCCGGCGTCGGTTATAACGAAAGGCCATTATAAGATATTTATGACACAAATAACCTGCAGGAAAGAAGTACAGTCTGTCGCATAAGATCCAAGCCGATATTTGCGAAAACGAAAAACAAACCAAAATTAATATACCATGTTGTTTTTACAACACCATCATTAAATTGAGTAGTAAATGAGTTAAGTATAACTAGACTTCGGCAAATATGCATATTGCATATTTTGCATATTGTGCATATTTTATGCAAATATTTCATATTTTGGCATATTTGTATAAAAGTTTGCATAAAGTGCATAAAAGTTCAGATTTTTATACTGTATTTAAAAATTTAAACATACCAATTTATTTCAATTCTTGTATAAAATTTTGTAGTCATTTTAATCAAGAAATGATCTAAGTACGTAATCTCTACAGGTACAAAACATTTACAATTTTAAAGAAGATCAATTTAAGTAGCCCTCAACATTCTTAGAAAGTCTCGGTCACTGAGGCATTCAGTTATTGGATAATCGCTAAGGGTTCGCTCATTTGCATTTTATGATCTAATCCCCAAATCTATCTACAATTTATTGTATCTTAACAGCAGGTAAACGGCTAATAGTTTTGTTCCTAATTTAGAGATTTTCCAAAATCTCCCAGTTTATTGAATTAGGTACCAAACATTTCTAATTTGATGCTCAGATTTGTAAATCATTTTTGTTTTGATATTCAAAGCGTAAACACTCGTTGTGCGTAACAAAAAGGAAGATTGTGATTTTATAATGCCTAAAACAACCAGTGCTTCAACTTGGATTAAACCTTATAAAGAGCTGTCTATGGATATGGGAAAAATCTACTGTTCAGTCTGTGGCAAAATTGTAAGTATCTAATATTTTTTATTAAATATCTAATATTTCATACATACAGGGTGTTTCCAAATGACACTTACAACGTTTGACTGTATATACTTCTCGAAAAATTGAACAAAACGATATAGTTAATGAGGGGTCAAACTTATTTACTTTTCGAGATACAGGGTGTTAAAATTAAAAAAAATTAAATTCTTTTAGTTAATAACAACAATAACTTTAAAACCAATAAACGTATTTACTTGAAATTTAGTACTCGTAGGTTGTTTTTAATTGAAAATAGCTTCCTTTAGTGAGAAAAAATTGTCCATGGTACAATACAATGGTGTGTATTTAGAAAAATTTTTCACCTTTACTTTTTTTTATGAAGTCAGCTATTCTTAAACACAATTATTTTTATTGTAATTGAATTAACAAAAAAAAAACTTTTGTTGAATTTTAAAATAAGTTATATGATGTACTAATGGTTAGTAACAAAAACTAATTTGTGGATTAATACTGCATTTAAAACACTTAGCGAGTGTTTTTTTTCCAAACCAGTTATTTGATTAACCAAAAACACCTTGTATATTTTTATATTTTAAAGGTTAAAATAAAGGTTTTTATTTTTATTTACAGATAGCATGTGAGAAGAAATTTCAGATAGACCAACATGTGAGAACTGCTTCACACATTGCAAAAAAAGGAAAAATACTAGGAAAACATCAAACTTCAATGGCTAAATGTTTCCAATCTACTTCAAAAAAATTAGATAAGCAAGAAACTTTTAATGAAGACTTGTGTCGCGCATTAGTGTCTGCAAACATACCGCTTTCAAAATTAGCAAATGTAAATTTTAGTTCGTTTCTAAAAAAATATTGCAAACTTAATGTTCCTAGTGATCGGTCTCTAAGAAGAAATAATGTGAACGGGCTATACTCGTCGGTGTTAATTAATATTAAGGAAGAAATTGCAGATAATTATTTTTACATATCTGTAGACGAAACCACTGATTCCTCAGGAAAGTATGTTGCTCATTTATTGATTGGTGTTCTTAAAGAAGATACCTTACCAAAATCTTATCTTATTTCATGCCAGCAACTTGAGAAAACAAATGCTTTAACAATTTCGCGTTTTATACAAGAAACATTAGCAACTTTTTTTCTTTCGACAACTATTCTTTCTAATAAATTACTGCTTATTTTATCGGATGCTGCTCCTTATATGGTGAAAGCAGGACAAAATTTAAAAATATTTTTCCCAGATTTAATACATGTTACTTGTGTAGCGCATGGATTAAACAGAGTTGCAGAGGAAATACGAAAAAAGTTTCCTCTTGTAAATACCATGATATCCAGTGTCAAAAAAGTATTTCTTAAATCTCCTATAAGAATTCAACTTTATAAAGAAATGCTACCTAACATTCCTCTTCCACCACAACCTATTTTAACGCGTTGGGGAACATGGTTAGAAGCAGCTAATTTTTATGCAGACCATTTTGTTAGAATAAATAACATAATTGATATGTTAACAGATGAAAGTTTCCAATCTCTTTTGGATTCTAAACAAACTTTTCAGAGTAACTTGCTTCAACAAGAACTTTCATTTATAAAATCAAATTTTAGTTTTGTTCAAAAAACAATTACTCAGTTAGAATCACCAAAACTGTCATTGTTCGAAAGTACAGCATTAATAAAAGAATTTGCGTCATGTTGTCGGAACGTTAGAGGTAATATTGGAAAAGATATTTTAAAAAAATTTGAAGCTACTATGGAAAAAATAAAGGTTACCATATTCTTTCTGAAGTAGTCAGTGTTCTAGCTGGAAATATTTCGGACACAATTAATTTAGAACCAAATGTTTTGGTTAGTTTGAAAAATGCTCCCGTTACATCAGTTGATGTTGAACGAAGTTTTTCCATATATAAATATATGTACTCAGACAGAAGCTACAAGTTTTTGTTAGAAAATTTTGAACACCACTTGGTCATTTATTGTTACCATAATTCTAAATAAGTTTATTCATATTTAAAAATGATGTAGTTACTTAAAATAAATGTAAATCTTAATGAATAGTAGGAAATATTTAGTTATGTACACTTTTTTTTTTAAATAAAATTGTTACTATTTTACGATTTTTTTATTTATTTGTATGCATATTTTGTAAAATATTTGCATATTTTCGGGTAAACACGTGCATATTTATGCGCATATTTTCTACATTTTTATTTGCATATTTGCCGAAGTCTAAGTATAACATTGAGTAGTTTAACATATATATCATATGTCGAATATCTTTTATATTTAGAATCAGGTTAGGGTTTGTTAGGTTAGGCCTGCTCTGGGTAACATCCTTAGATATTTTACTCGTGTTTGAGGTTACGATAAAATACAAATATCATATATTGGTACAATGTAAATATATTTTGGATTTTATATTACAAAATGTATATACAAATCGGTTTTATAGCAAATTTGATGATTTTATCTGTTTCTATAATTTTCATACCATTATCAGTCTCAGTCTTTATTTTGCGTTTGCTCACACATTTGTTTGTGGCATTTTAGACTCTTTTATCGCCTTGATTGATTTTGACATATAATTTGAGTACATAGGTATTTGCCAATTTGATCGGACGTATATTTTGTGACTGTTAAGATTTTAACTCAAATATTTTAATTCGGTTTGTTATTATGTCATATCGAGTTGGCCAAATTTTCTTTCAGTTCCATCTTGTTGTTGACTATGTATGATTCGACTTTTTGTAAATATTTGTATACTTTATAAGCTATTTTTATAATCATAAATATTCTTTTCATAGGTACAGCGCCATGGAGATAGAGCACCTTCAACATCATATCCACTGGATGAAAACTTTAATAAGAATTTCTGGCATATGGGTTTTGGACAACTAACAAAGGTAGTAACATAGTAACAGTAACATATTTGTGGCAGATTTTAACACATGTGAATGTTCAAATGAGTCTAGGAAAATCCCTACATGAAGCCGTCTATATGGCACAGGACCAAAGCCAATTAAGACAGCAAGCATACCTTATCTGGCGAGGGCATTAATTCTGCCAGAACAGGATAGCTTTCCTTCTGGATGTTAGATAAAACTCACATGCACCCAGATCTACCCAAATTTGGTCTTGCTGCGTTGTCAGCATTTAGAAGTCACCATAATTTACCGCTCGGAAGGGCTCCCCGTTAAAATTTATTTATGTTTACATATATTTTTAGAATGGGTTTCTTTCTCACATCGTCGTGGCTATTCAAACTTTAGAGACGTCTGCTCTGGAAAATTCATTTGATGTAAAGAAATACTTATTTGACATATTTTGAAAAAGATTTCAAATGATATCTTTCGTATTATCCCTCGTAGGGATGATATGAAAGATTTAACCAACTTCATTCTTAACATAACTAAAAAGAAATCGGTCCATTTTATTTAAATCTGGTGACCTAGGTAGTTACCTTACCGGTCGATCTTTTCCATTCCATCTTTGACGAAACGAATTTAATTGGCCGCATACTTATTCGTTATATGGTAATCAATCATTATGGTGCATTATTCACAATAAAATCTAAGTACATCCCATCATTTAAGTTATATTAGACAAATATGGTCCTATTAAATGGTTACCGACGATGCCTCCCTATACTGATTAAGGCCCATTCGTTAAGTACTATTAGTTTCATAAAATGAGTGTATTAATAGAACTACCAATATAGGAGTGCAGTTACACCTTATCTTATCTTAAAGAAAAGCTGAACACTGAGAAATTTTTAAGGGATAAATAAATGATTATATTACTAATCATATTCATTCTAATTATTATTTATAACTGGGAATAAGCCACATTAAAGATAAAAATACATTTATTGACGTTTCAATTTCCAATTCGGAAATCGTTCTCAAAATACAAATAGTAAATTAAACAAATTTTGTTTTTTGTTACATAGTGAAAAAATTCTTCTGATAATTTAATTTGATCTGACTCATTTATATTGACAATTCAGACATACATTATGCATTTTAAAGTAGACGACTTTAAAATGATATTGCCAATATTGTTGAGTTGCGCTCCTGGGACGACTTTACTTATAAGATAGTTCATTCGATTACATGAAATCAACTTTAACTTGAGAATATCCGTCAGAAAAAATCATAGCATGTAATTCGTCTTTAAAAAGACAAACACATGACATGATGACAGTAAAATTCTCCTGTTAGTGATTCCATAGTAAATTATGAGGGAAAAACCAGGAAAAAAACCTCATAATACTATCCCGACATTGTAAGTATTTGTTCGTGAATTTAGTTTACCTTCAACAAACATCAAAATTCTGATTTTATGTTACGTTATTTAAAAAACATAAATGATGTATCCTCTATAATATGTTACTGACTTACTAATACTGGTATTTTCTTATTAATAACTTCCTCTTTCAATATTGGTAACCAGATCCTACTACATTCTGCCGAGGAATTTGCGACACAATTGGCCTCATTTAGCATAATTAGAGCCGCTTCTTTGATTTTTCTTTTTTTACCATCCGTTTCTTTTAGGACTATATTTGAATTATTCCATTGAACTCTATGTTCATTATCCCATGCGTGTTTACATATTTGAGATCTATCAAATTCTCTATTTTTAATATAAGATTGATGTTCACTTATTCTAACATTTAATGGCCTTGATGATTCACCTAAATAAAACTGATCGCATTCACAAGGTATTTTATAAATGCAATTCTTTGTCCTTTCTTGTTTATTGTTAGGTTTGGTTTTGGACAAAATAGATCTCAACGTGTTTGTTGTTTTGAATGTTGTTGAAATGTTGAATTTATTTCCTATCCTTTTAAGTTTTTCTGATAATCCTTTTATGTACGGTATTGTTATTTTCCTCATATTATTCCTTGTGTATGCTGTAGGATCTCGTTCTAAGTTGTTCTGTTCTATTCGATCGATTGTTGAAAATTCCTTATTTATAAACGATAAAGGATAATCATTTTTTAATAAAACAGATGTTAACAAATGTTTCTCCTCCAAGAACGAATTTTCGTTAGAACAAGTAATTTTGGCTCTATCGTATAAGGATTTAATTATTCCCTTTTTTACATTAATATTGTGATTTGATTTGAAATTTAAATATCTATTGGTGTGTGTTGGTTTTCTATACACCTGAGTCTCATATCCAGTATCGTTCTTAGAGATCAAAACATCCAGGAAAGGTAGCGTGTTATTATATTCCTTTTCCATGGTAAATGTTATTGTCTCTTCTTTATCGTTTATATCGTTTAGGAATGTGTCCAACTCTGATCCATGAGGCCATATTGAGAATACATCATCTACATACCTCCACCATACTGTGGGTTTGAAATTTTGTTTAGAAATGATATTTGTTTCAAAATCTTCCATAAATATATCGGCTATGAATGGAGATAAACTAGAGCCCATTGCTAGACCAAAATTTTGTTTATAGAATTTATTATTTAGTTGAAAATATGTATTATCAGTACATAATGTTAATAACTCCATTATAGCCGATATGTTTAGTCTAGTTCTATTCTAGCTTCAGAACAATATATTCATTCTACATAAACAACATATTAATAGAAAGCAACATTTGTCTTAAGCTTTACAAATAAATATAAAAAATCATATAAACTTGTGACAAAATATGTTTGTCACATACCTAGGTAAGGTGAAGTTACAAATTTCAACATGCGGAAGACGAGTGTAGTTTCAGGTAACCATAGGCTATTTGGATATAGCTAGTTTTTAGGAACTTGTTAATGTATGCTTCTTTATAGCAGTAGCCAGCATACTTTAGCCTGCTACATGTGGTGCACAACGTGGTTTAGGCGTTTAACTAAAAAGAGGGACAAGATGGATTTAAATCAAAAGAAAAAACTAAAACAAGAGACCTTGTGTTAGCGACAGCATGAAATTAAAGAAAAATAACTTTTTAAAAAGATAATAGCAGTTGGTAAGGATAATGTAATAAATATAATTATTATTAAAATACAATGATTAAATTAAATTGGGTAATTTTGTAAATATCAGATATAGCTTCTTCTAAATTTATAGCTGATTATGACGGAGACACTGATGACGGACGAGAAAACGCGTCCGTGTTTTGATCGTCCATCAGATGTGTTTAAAAATAAAGGGTGTTTTTACAATTTGTGGTTTTAGTTATAGTTATTAATTGTTAGTAACTAAATAACAATATTTAGTTGATAGAAGAATTATGCCCCAACTATTTTTTGAAGAAAAATAGTAAAACAAAATAGAAATTAAACCAATGAATAAAATTAAAATAATTTGTAATAAAATAATTATTTACTAATAATTATTGTTTAAATCTTGAATATGGTACATTTGAATATGGTAATAGTAAAAATTACTAAGTTCTTTCTATTTGAAATCAGTCGTTATACTTGTGTGTGGGTTTTCGGTAACTGCCATGAAGACATTCATTCCGTTTTCCTTTATTAGACTAGTTTCTGTTTGTTTATGTTTTTGATGGTCACTGAAATACTGCGGTTAAATCTGTAGCGACAAGCTAATTAGGAATAATTATAATTTTTTCTATTCAAAAATTAAATAACAGATCTCATATTAACATTTACATTTGCTCAGTTGGTAATACTTATACAAAAATATATTTCATTTATCTTTGCATTTTTCATGTATGGGAAACGAAATGTTATATTGTAAGCAATGACATCACAAGAGACCAGGTCGATAATAGTTTATCGTGTGGCTTTTAAAACAAAGAATGTGTGTTTAGTTTGTAACATTTTTTTTATTATTAAAATATTAATTATTTTTAATTTCTTTTACCCCCGTGTCATACGCCGATGATTAGGAATTCCCGTGTTTACGATATGAAAATAATATTTGATCTACTAAATTATAATGGACTTCCCTAATTACTAAAGGTAGTCTCCGTCTTAATACTCAGTATGAAAAGATCTAATGCTTTTGGGTATGCAGGTTCTTTTACATAAATTGATAATTTTCGCCGAAGGCCCGTATCTTTTGACAATACCTTAATCCCAAGTATTGTCTGCTTCTCATGTCCAATGGTTGGTACCGGTAACTCAAAACTTTCGGAATTTTTACTTCCTCAGAATTACCTACAACTGTCCGATGATTTTAAGTGGGATATACCTTTTTCTTATTTTTTCTTGGATAGTTGGTGAAACTTAGTAAGTTGGGAACCAACTTACTTTTCGGTGGGCTCTCGTTGAGCACAGGTCGATTATCTCGTGAGACTTCTCGGTGGCCTCTCGTTGAGTGTGGTCGCTTGCCTGAAATTATCGTCTCTGTGAATTATTTTCTAAGTGTGTATACACTCTATATTTCAGTTTTCTTGTCTTAGACTATATTAAGTTATATACAGTTCTACACTACCTTTAATGGTACCTAATTAAATTCAGTGTTGAATAACAGTACAGTATATTAAATTCAGTGAATTCAGCTACCGTCATCAGGAATTATGTAAGTTACCATAATCTTTATCTGCAAATTATCTGGGCGAGTAATATGGTATGGTATCATACCACCTGCCATTATCTGGACGTATCACCCATCATTCATCCATATCTTCATCTGTAGATTGCCGATTTTTATATTTAATTTAAAGAACAATTCAAGAACTTTCCATAAATAATAACTCTGAACATCTCAGTTTAGCATTAATTAATAATGCGAGATAGTAACCCACCTAGCCAAGTGCGGTTTGGCTAGTTAATGTTTTCAACTCTGTAACCTGTTTGTTTTTTTTTGTAAATTTAGAGTTAAGAAATTTTTCCTATCTTTTGTATTTGCTATAAATTTTGCTCATTATCTTTCCTATAATATCTTGAGATACGGCAAACTATATTTGTATATGATTGCCTTAT